GTGTATTTGTATTCCATCTTAATAGTAATGATCTTATTTTTTACAAAATATGCAAACATTTTTACCAAGACTGTGTATCTTCTGTTAATTTTCCACAGATTATCCTTGGCCGACTGATATTCCAGGTGTGTCGGATGAAGAACTGTACATCTTGAAGTGGAAATGTCCTGAGCTGAGTGGGATTTTTGCACACCCCAAATCCATTTTCAAATATATCATTTGTAAAGGTGGCGCACCAAGCATAATGAAATGCTCCACTGGTCTTCGATTTAATCAAGAAACAAAACAATGTGATTGGTTAAACGTATAATCCAATGAAAAACGCTAAAATGCGTTAAGTCGTATTATTCTTTGTCTTAAAAACAATTTTTAATAACAATAAACTTGGATTTTAAAGCATAGTTAATTTTAAAAATCATAATTTGTGTAAATTACTTTCTAATACAGTAAAAAAGACGAAGTATACAAATAGGTACAAATACTACACATAAGAAAAATAGAAATGTAAAGGAAAGCACGAGAAAAATATTCAATAAAGTGTAATAAGCATAAAAAAAGGCAAATATTAAATGCACAAAATAATCAAATAGAACTTAATGTGAAAAACAAACAAATATAATTTAATAAATATCTAAAAATAGAGAAATATATATATATATAATCAGAAAATAGAACCACGGAAATAACGAAACATAGTATATAATATGTAGAAAAGAAAAAACAAAATACAGCAAATGATCAATAATATAATAAAATGTAAAGAATAAAACACAGCAAATGACCACACAGATTATAAGAAACGTCCGAAAATAAACACCGAAGCGTCGAAATAGAATATAATAAAATGTAGAGAAAAAAAAACCTAAAACACAAAATATAACCATATAAAAGTTAAGAAAAAGAGTTGTTCAAGAATGAATGTAAGTAAAATAGCAAACTATACATAATATTTTTATCCATTAGTTTACGAGAAACATCAATAAGTTGTATAAATTCTCCTGAAAGTTTCAACCATATAAGTTAATTTTTATAACTGAGAGCTTTAGAATTTCAAATAGTCTGAAACCGTTCTACTTTAAACTGATCTACTCTTTTATCAACGAATAGTGGGATTGACCGTCACATAATAATGCCTGAACGAGCGAGCATGTTTAGTGAAACGGGGATTCGAGCCCGCGACCCACATATTGTGAGTCGAAAGTCCTTAACCACATGGCCATGCTTTTAGTTACGAAACATACCAAATATTATGTGTAAAACGTTGGTATAATTCCAGAGTATCACTAAACTATAAAAAATTCATCAAAGTTCCCTTTTCTTCTATTTGTTTCCGTAAAAATATACGATTTCAAAATCAATTGTTAGCACTTAATCACTTACTATCACTGTTGTAACATATACCATCAACTTGTCAAACACAGTGAAAGTGAATACCAGAAGGGGCACGTGGTAATACTTAAAAAACACACAAGTGTGCGACATACATAATAGATTATGGGCAGTAAAATATTGAAACAATCTTTCGTTTCATTTGTTTGCATTTGTATCACCAGCTGTTAAAAGTCAACGTCATCATTCTTTACTTGGCCTGACATAGCTTGGTGTTTAAGGTAAACAGATGGTTAGGACACCTGTGCGAGAAGCTTTGTATCTTTATTTAGACCCTCTGGTGGCTCAGCAGTAAGTTTGAGGGCTTATGACGCAAAAAAACACTGGTTTTCAATACTCGAGGTGAGCTGAACACAGACAGCCGACTGTGCTTAACAACAAAACGAACATCGTTATTTAGTATACACCCGTATTAAAATTTTAAAAAGTGATTCTATTTTAAATAAACTAGCAAACGTCATATTAAGTTGTTAGAAAAATTTACGGACGACATACAAACTCAAGCATATTTTAATACTTCAGAACGATAACTTTTATTTTTGTTTTTAAATGTGTAGGTTGTGTACGAAAGTTAACTTCGACATTAACACCAAGTTATAAAATTCACGTGATTGAGGAACAATTAATTTTCGAACTCCCTTTTGCTAGTGTGAGTGAACTACCATTCCAAATCCCACGAGTCAATGACATTTTAATAGTTTATCTTTATTTAATCTAATTACTCCGAAATGATTAGAACTCACGGAAAGTAAATAACCTTTCCACTAGAGTTATATGTCCAAAACTTTCAACCACGTTGCCAACAGAAGTTTGGTTTGCACTTAACTGTGCCACCACATGTTCCAATTCTAAAAACATCCTCCAGGTGTTTTATGAACAAGCAGGTTATTAAGAGCTAGTTTTAAAACATTTCACATTACTGGGATAACATGATGGCAGATACACGTTTAACTAACTGTATGCCAGAAAGACTATTTTAGTAGTATATCAAATGTTTTTCAGGAAAAACAAGTTCACTGAAATCAACCCTCTAGTGGCCCAGTTGTAAATCTGAAGACTTATAGCTCTCCGGGTTTCCATACCTGTGGTGGGAAAAGCACAGATAATTCATTGTGTAGTTTTGTGGTTTAACAATAAAATAAATAATTGCTAAAATTTTACTGTCTACCGTTTAACCATAACACTAACTCAAACATTTCCAGTAATAATAGCTTATTATAGTTGTATATTATACAATATGAAGTTAAAGCTGTTTAAGTTTTAAACAATAATTCTGTATAAGAAGATTCCCAGTTGACAATCTATATAATTAACGTCAATATCTCTGTGTATCTGTTCCTTATAACTTTCCACATTTCTTGATCAATCACCATCAAATTTAACACAGTGATATAGTATGATATGACGAAGGTCATGAGGAGGGTTGGACCCCCCCCATCTAATTTCATATTGATAGAATTATTGAAAACAGTATGTCTTTCTTTTCGGTATTGGTACTTTTATGTATTTTTATTGCACTTTTGATGTTCATCATGTTAAGAAAAAAATAGAAGCACAATTTCCTATCCTTTGTTATAAACGAGTTTTATTTCACCCGTCCAAC